CCTGTGGGGCTCCCAGACGATGCTGCACCCCATCAAGGGGGATCCCACTGGAAAGACTCTCCAGGATTGAGAAGCAGGGGCTGAGCTTGCAAAGGACCCAGGTGATGCACCATGGTACTGGTCTCAGAGCCACCTCCAGCCACCAGCAGGGACCATCATGGGGTGCTCCTCAGTATGGGGGCACTCAGGGACCACCACCCTCAGTCTAAGCAGGGCCATACCTTGCACAGGTCCTGCAGGCCATACTCCACTGACGAGGTCAGGACCTCCAGCGCCTGCAGGCAAGAGGGACATTGTAAGCATCAGCACCGAGGGCCACAGGCAAGCATGGCAGCCCAGGGGCCAAAGACACGCGTCCTCCTGCCTCTGTGGGAGCTCACAGGTGGGGCATGGGGGAGAATGGGGCTGCCACATGTCCTGCTCTGGTGTTCCCATTCCCAGCATCCAGAGTCTGCGCAGCCAGTTGTTGGGGGTTGGGGCAGGCACTTGTGCTCTGTGCACCCCACTGTGGTGGGCTGAGACCCCACACTCTTTGCACTGTTAGCCAGCCAGAAAGCATCATCCAGAGCATCCCCTCCACCTTCAGCACCCAAGGAGCTGCAAAGCACTCCCTACTGCTGCATTCCCCCCCCCGCCCCTGCCACTCCCATGCCCATGGTCCCTGCCAGCCCCAGCCCCACTCACAATGCAGCTGTTGAGGGTGACGCTGTTGGTGTAGAGGAATTCGATGACAGCCAAGAAGACATCGGGCTGCACGTTGCCCAAGATGAAGGGGCCCTGGGGTGGGATGCTGCCAGGGGAGTCCTCACTGCCTGCTGGCCCCTGGCTGAGCATCCCCCGGAAAGCCTGGCAGCGGCACGCCAGCACACAGCGATGCGCAAAAACCTTCTGCTGCTCCCGGCCCACCACAAACGTCACGTCACTGCAGAGGAGAGGGGACCATGAGGGATGGAGTGCCTGGGGAGCTAGGGAATGAGATGCACTGGGGCTGGGACATGGCACACGGGCAGGGACCAGCTGGGTGCCCGTCCCAGTGGGGCAGTGCCCTTTAGTTTTAACTCAGGGCTTTTCCCAGCAGAGGCACGGAGGAGCTCCCTGCTGGTGGCTCCTTGCAGTCATCATGCTGCAGGTGGGGTAAGCAAGATGGGTCCTCTGGAGGCACAGACAGTCATGGGTGTTGGCACAGTCTGTCATGGGTGCCAGCACTGCCAGTCACGG